ATTGGCTCTAATTTTTATTTTTATATTATCCAAGATTTAACTCTTAAATTAAAGGTAATATGAGCATAAACTCACAAATAAATGACATCTACTTATTTGTTGAGGTCAGGGTTTAAACCTTTGTACCCTCGATATGTTGTGCTTAAGGGGAAAAAACCGTTACATGAAAGATCCATCTTTTAACAATGAGATATAGACATGTAACTTTCTGACACAAAGTGTCATTACCTAGTACAAACAATTTGGTCTCCTTTGCCAGCGAGGAGCCTATCCTTGGATCCTTGACCTCAAAATCGACATTGTAAAATACTAATGGTTACAAAATTTATAATATTTAGGTTAATAAATTAATTAATAATATTTTAGATTAAACTACATATATATTTATAGTTAGAAATCAACAACTTATAAATATGTTAATAAAACACCTCAGATTATTTATTTTTTAAAAAAGAATTTCTACCAAACACATATTTGAATACAGTTTTTTTTTAAGTTGAATCTATGGTTCTCTCTTTTCACATCAATAACCAAAGGCATCTTTAATTTTACATGGTAGTTTTAATTTGACAAAGAAATTGTAAGGTTTAAGATTTGATCTTCCTCTCTTGCCGTTGATCAACTGTTTTTTAGTTATTTTATAATTAATATTAATATTTTTGAAGAAATTGCTTAGGGATATTTTTCTTTTAAATAGTTTATGTTTCTTTTTTTGCCCTTCTAATGATTGTTTTAGATTATGATTATTTTGAATTTAAATAAAAAATGTACCATATTAGAAAAAGTATCAAATATAAATTTTAATACAACTAAATTACTAAAATTATATACTTAATGCACACGTGTTTTTATGTATTTATATACTTTATGTTTATGTTTCTCACCTACTGTAATGGAAGTTTGGTATCTTTTAAAAAAAATGTGTATTTATGTTTGGTTTTTTATGCTAAAGTTAGCTCTTGCCATCCTATTTTGTAATATCACGTGGTTCAAATGTTTTTAAACTTGTTAATTTGATTTTTACTATATTAATTTTATTCAAATCTAGCATAAGTTTTTTTATATCAAGTTTTATTATTTTGTTGAAAAACTATCAATACATTTTCATTTTTAAAAATAAAATTAATTTTAATAAGTTGGATAAAATTAAAAAGATGAAAATTGTAATGCATGCGTGAAAAGATTAGTTTATTGAAAAATGCAAACCAGCCAAATATTCTATATATAAATAATATAATGTCCTAGTTGTTTGGATAGTTTTTTTTCATGTAGAATATGTGGGGGTCCAAAATCGAACTCACAACCTCAAGATATACGTCAATTACCGCTGAGTTGTTTGGATAGTGGTTTACTTTCATGGATCATTATTGATGAGCGAAGAAATGACCCAAAACTCTATGAAAGCTTGTCCTCTGGTTTAATTAAAAAAGACCTAGTTTTTTTTTAATTCTAATTTATTGTCAATATTATATTATAAAATCATCTATTTTCATCTTTTATGCTTGAAATCATACATATTTTTTCTTTTATTTTTTCTTTTAGATTCGTTTTTTAGTCCAACAAATTAGGTGGATGAGTTTTTGAATCTCGTCTCAAGGGAAGGAATAAATATTAATTTCTTTCATTTTATCTTTTAGATTAGTCATTTAGATTTGTTTTCCTTTTAAGTTTTCAATATATTTAATTACACGTTTCTCTATTGACTAAGTATATCAGCCAATTATATTAAAAAAAGTGTTTAAGTCAAAGTTAGTATTATATGAGACATAGAAAGAGTATGACTAGGATTGCTGACATATATATATATATATATATATTTCTTGTTATTTAAAGAAATTTAATACAGTTGTTTCATTATATAAAATTAGGGTATTAATTTTTTTTTAACTTTACCAACCTTTAATTTGTCCTCAAGCTATGTTAGAATGAATGGTATGCAATGACTGAGTAAGTTTAATCTAAACTAAAGTTAAAATAAATTAATTAGAGCCTAATTATTAAAGTCACAAATATTTGAATGACTTAACAAGCTAAGTAATACTTCGTTACACCGACATTGTATAATATGTCAGAGTGAGACATAAAATTACACAAAATTTAGAATCATCTCTAGCTCTAATATATTAAAAAGTACTCACTTAGAAGAAGCTTTTTTTTTTTTTTTTTTACAAATTTAACCTTAATTTTTTGTATAATATCTAAATTATCTTTTGTTAATTAAAAACCATTAATAAAAACTTATACATTAATTCTACATGCACGTAAAACTCAAAAAATAGAGGAAAAAAAAACTTTTGGTATAATTAACACACGCTTAAACACCCCTTAACACTACCCCTAACTCACACACCTTCTTTACTAAATAGTAATGCCTTATTAAGACTAAATTAAAAGAAAATTGTCTATTATTTGTCTTTTTATTTTTTTCAAAATTTTAAATATATGAACTTTTCATTTTCTCACATTTTACTACATATAGATAATTCTAAGTTTATCAATGTCATTTTTTAGATTAGAGTCAAATATATTTATCATTTTCTCTTCAATTCTATATTCAAATTTCATCTTTCTTTTTTCTATTTTCAATTGTTATATCATGATGTTTTTAAAAGATTATATCTCGCTAAAGAATTTCAAATAATTTCAAAAAGAATGGATAATCAAAGTTGTGGTAATTATGTGAATAAGAACGATGAAGATATTTACAAACCATCAAGATCCACGAAAAGGTATAATCTTTTCATAATATTATTCAATGTAATAATCTTTTCACTTTTTTATTTTTTTATTTTATATTAATACTATTATGATATTTTTTATTTTGGAAGTTTAATAATTAATGCAACCTTATTCAATTTTTATAACGATATAAACAAGTCTCTATTTAACTTTCCTCTTGAAAGAATGTGTCTTCTTTTCCTGTGCATGGATATGATTAAAAATATATATTTTATTATTAATTTTGTTCTAAAAATATATGTATTGTTAGATCATTAATTTAATTCTTGCAAAAATTTTAATTATACAATATAAATGGATAAATTCACCATTAATTTTAATATATAAGTAAATAAATTGGAGTTATAATGTGATGCACATGGCAAAAGACTGGTTATTTAAAACGAATAAATAATAATTAAAAAAAAATGTTACCGAATTTGCTCTCATTTTTATTTTTATGCTTTTTAAATTTAAGACGGTTTATTCTCAATTTTCTCGTTTTGTCCGTACTTCACCGTTTCTAAAATATTTTGGAGTTCTCCAACAAAATTTCAAAGTAAAATAATCATTTTGAAAATTAGCTTCTTTAGTTCTAAATATTTTGATTAGAATCATAAAATTTTTTTTTAAAAAAGTAGATTCCAAATAAATAAACAAATTAAAAGTTTTGAACTTATTTTTGAAAAAGGCAGAATAATAACCAAGGTTTTAAATCTTGAAAAGTCATAAAAATAAAAAATAAAAAAATAGATATTTAAATTAACGAATAATGGTTCCACAATTTTTAAATAAGTTAAAAATTATATCAGTGAAATTTTGTTAATATTTTTCATATTTTGTCAATTTTTTTTATGATGTTATAGAAATGTCGATTTATCCCTCATATCTATGTCGAACTCATAGATATATAGACACGTTGATGGATATGTCAACATATTTGTGAATATTTAATACCGTGATGATAACAAATTAAACTTTAAATATACGACTCCATTCCAATTGTTTATGGTGCAATTTGTGTGCTTATTATTCTGACAAAAAAATTAAATAAATAAAAGAAATTGTAATGCCTTTATCTATATTAGATACACAAAGCAACCTTCTGAGAAGACTAAATATTGAAAGGGAAGAAACTAGAGATGAAAATTTATCTTTTCAAACAAACATTTAGTGCGTTCATAAGCTTAACTAAAGCGTAAATTTTAGTTCCAAATGGATAGTTTGAATGGCTTGAGGTCTCAAAGAATATTGGTATGGATACAATATGCTAGGAGCATAAAGGTCGAAGGGCCACCGACCCTGTATAGTCCTTATGAATATTAAATATGAATTTTATTTTTCAACTTTGATACTTTTAAAAGATACAAATATATAATTAATTTTATATGAGATGAATTTATTCATAATAATTTCTTCTAAATATTAAAAGTAACGGGAGATATTATATAATTTAATTAAAATTTATTTTATACTTAGATGTAATATATAAATATACTCAATTGCATAAAATTTTTTATAAAATAGAAATGAAAAAAATTGATCAAAGAAAATATATAAAAAACAATGAAGGGCAAAAATGTCGAGATTCATATTTCAAAGAACATCTAAAAGAACTAAATACCTCTCTCATGTGCATTTTAAGATACTAGGGTATCGTGACATGTCTAAGTCTACATTACTGAGGGAACAAAAAGGTGACAATTTGACATGTCTAAGTCTATATTACTGAGGAATGAGGAACAAAAATGTGACAATTCAAATGCCCATCTCATTAAAATCTTTGGATTCCTATGATAGAAACGGCGTCAAACCATTTAGTTCTAATGTATTTGTTACTTTGACTGCATATTAAGTTTGAATTAAGTTGAGAATAGAGTAAATCAAATAGGTTTCCAAAACCCACTACATTTTCTAAATTTCTTTTTAACTCACCAACTTTTTTTTTTACTATAACTTTATTGCAAGGTACATACGGTAGGTTTTGAATGTGAACACTAAAGCCTCCTCCTACTGTACCAAAAACCCAAAGATGCAACTCACAAACTTATACCCTAGCACGGTCAACAAATTTAGTAATTACTTTAGACCCCATCAAGGGGTGAATTTGTTTTAATTTGTTTTATTTATTTATTATTATTTCTTTTTTATTACATAAAACGGTTGATTCATTATGGTCTAAAGAGAGCGAGTTCGAATCTCATGATAGTCACCTACTAAAAATTAATTGCATTCCCAATATCACCGATACAAAACGACCATCAACCGCTTGTAGTTCAATAGAAACAGAACCCCCTTACATTTTATTGATACACCAAAACTTCAAATCTTACGCACACACAACAAAAGACAGTAGCAATTAGCAAACACAACAATCCCCACCTAAAATGTTTTTGCCAGCCTCACCTCACCAATTGGCTTTAGCTGCGTTAGCAAGAGTATTAACATCATCATCGGTTGCAATGTTGGAAGCAAAGTAACCAAGCACGTGGTGGGACTTTGCCAATCTAAGATTCTCTGGTATGGTTTCTTCATTTTCGTAGGCAATCCAAGTTGTATCAAAATATGTGTACCCAATTACATATCTCCCATCATTTTTTTATTCTCAGCCTGATTATCTTTTATAAACTTCTTGATATTGGAGTAGTCGATTCGGCCGTCCGAAGAAATACTGTCTCCTACGGCTGGTCCTTCGGCCTTCGAAAAGATGTCGTGTCGGTGAGCGTCCGCGAGTTTCCATGCCCAGCCATGGAAAGGAATTCCAAATACGATCTTTTTGGAAGGCAAATTAGGAAAACTGTTGATCCATGACTTGATACCTGTTCCATAAATTCAACGCAACAAGTGAAATAGAATGAAGGAATAGTGGCTGTGGTTGCTGTTTAATTACCGCTGGATAGATGTTTGAGTTCCTAATGTTTAAGTGTTATTTATTTAATCTTCATTGTTTGTTTTTTTGAGAAGAATTTTAATCTTCATTCACTACAACAAAAAAGTCTTCAACGACATTAATTAGCGACGAAGTTTTTTTCGTCGCTTTTCCAGCGACAAAAAATATTTATCGTTGCAAAACAACGACGAAAATAAATGCGACGAAAACAGTGTCGAAAAAAACTTTCCTCGCTGGAAATGCGACGAAAACAATTTTCCAGCGACGAAAATTTTTCTTATATTTTGAAAAATTTCAATTATATGATAGGAAAATAAAACTGACTTGCGATAACTTTACTTGACATGATATTTAATGAATTTACAGCAATTTAAGGGATGGCTTTCCCAGGTAGGAAAAGTAAAAAATTCACCTATTATTTCTTTAAAATTTGAAGAAAGAATAATTAAAAGCTTTCTTTTTTAATAGCAGGAATCAGAAACTTTTTTTCTTACGTAGTTTAATTCTCTCCCTAAAATTCCTGTCAACCCTCTAAAGTAAATGTATTTCAGGATGCCAATTGAAAAAAGTGTTGTAAAGTGAAGTATTTATTTTGCAAACACTTTCAGAATAAAATTAATCAAACGATTCATCTAAAAGCCAGTGTAAACTGTTTTTTCTTTTTTCAATAACTTTTAAACTCTTTTAGATTATTAAAAATTTAAAAAGAACTTTTAATAGGTTTAAAACGCTATTTTTTTTAAAAGATACTAGAACGATTTATTCAAGTATGTGAGAAACATGCGTACAAAAGATAAAGAGGCTAAGTAAAAACGCTCCAGTTAAGTGAAATGGACGAGATATTGTAGTTATAAAAGAAAGTAGACTTAGAAGACTAAGAGGAAGCTAAAACTATAATGTTATCCCCAAGGTGGTGGTAAGATTTGGAGACATCCGCAAAAGTTCTATTATTTCTCTCCAACCAAACTAAATGGATCCCACAGTATTGTACCAAAGATATTACGAGCACAAAGAGGGGATAGCATTTATGAGGTTTAAAACACTGTTAAAATTAAACTCCCTAAGCACAAAGAGGGGACCTACATATTTTTAAAAAGGTACTTATATAGTTATATTCCTCCCTAAGCACTCTAAGAACTTTAAAAGACAAATATGTCAAACACACTAAAATTACACCACAACTGAAGGAGAAGGACTCGCCACAGTACATTCTATACAGAAGTTTCAGCTAGATTTGGCACAAAATCGTCTATGTAGACCATCAGGCCTTGCAAAAGCGGGGTAAGCTGTTATTCCTTTATGGTGAACAAAGCATGTAGAAGACAATCGTTTTAACTTCCTATAAAAAATACTTGAAATCAATTTCATGAGTTCAAGAAAAAAGAATTTTATGGGGACCTAGGATGGATGGAAGAAAAATGGATAACGATCAATAGATACGAAGGGGAGGGCAGGCTATAAAATGAAACTATCTAGAGTCTAACTTCATAACATCATAAAACATGTTAAAATTTAAAAGACTAAATTGAAATTTTTAAACGAACTTATTGTAAAGTAAAAAACACGAACTAAATCATATATTTAGCGTTTGATTAATTCGTGTACCAGAGTGTATAGACACGTAGTTGGTCTTGAGATTGTAGAGTGCTGAGGATGGTCCAGTACGCATCCTCGAAGAATTTGGGGTGTAAAAATCATAAGAAATAAGGTTAACCCAATCCAAGGTTTGTATTATTGTATCAATTGGATACTGAATATTGTGGCGCACGATGGGCAAGTTGGAGACTGCAGCAACAAGGATCAACTGTTGTCTATGGTAATTCTTAGCATCCTCAACAATAGCGCTATGCCACTCAATGAGAACGTTTTCAAAGCCTTCCATTTCATCTTGAGAAGATGGATACAGCCACTCGAGATCTAAGCCGTTAAACTTTCCCTCTATTGCTGCCTCAATCGAGGAATTAATAAAGGCTTCGCGATTTGCACGCTCGCTAACCATTTTAGTGAGTACATCTCCATCTCCTCTGATGGATAGCAAAGTTTTGACTCTCGGATTGCTCAGTCTGACAGTCGAACTAAATTGATTGATTAGGATAACCTCCGAGGAATCTATGGTGACCTTGTAAGTTTCAGGGTCAACAATAACATATCCACAAAACAAATGGCTAAAAAACGTAGCATCAATATTAGCAGAAGGAAGCTCGGCCTCCGTGCTGGTGAACCAGTAACCGCCGCGCACAAGCCTTGGGGCCATTTTGAAAAGGAAACAAGGATGCTGAGATTAATCAGAAAGTGGATCGTAAACTATGATGCTTGCTTTTATATATATAATATACTCAAAATCAAACCTTCCTATTTCTTTAAATCATATTATATTACAAGAGGTCGAAATTGGGTGGAAGGTAAAGAAGGTCGAAATAAACAAACCAAAGACATGCTTTCCTAGATGTATCCGAACAGGTTAATTTCTGCATCAACCATACTATTTTTATTTCTTAAACTAATTTATCTAACTTCCTTGACTTCTCGTTTGATTAAACAAATTTATTGATCTAACTTCATTTTGTCCTTATTAGCTGCTCTAATGTGCTAGTTTGGACCAAGTTTTTTAAGGCTAATAAATTCAAATTGCACATGGGAATTACGTCGCACATTTATTTTGTGTATAATATATTCTTTTCCCACTTAATTTAGTCAACATTAATTTCACTAATATTTTAACCCTAGCATCACTAGTTTCTTAAAATAAAAAAATGACCAACAATCTGATCTACGTCATTGACACCAACTAAACAATTATTCATTTTTATTTCCTATTAATTTTCTTATAAATAGGATGATGATTCCATGGGTACCTGGAATAATGGGATTTGAACTCATTCCCTCTTAATTACCTAGTCCCTTTGAACCAATGAGCCACCATTGATGGTTAGTTTTGTTGATTCTAAATTTCTGATTGTCCATCACATAGATATACTTCCAACAAAGTGGTATCAGAGCTTGAGTTTTAAAAGACAATTATTTTTGCGAATGACAAACAACAATTTCGCTTCTTTCATAGCTTTACTTGGATCACAAGATACATGAGAGATTGTTGATAGAGGCTGTGAAGAACCAGCAGAGGATGTGGTCATGAATCAAGCTCAAACGAGAAACTTTGCAAAATACAAGAAAGACCATAAGGCTCTCACCATTATCCATCAAGCTAAGTCATTGATGATACAAATTTTGAGAAGATATCTGGAGCAACCACCACAATGCAAGCATGATAAATTTTGGAGAAAGAAGTTGATCGGGTTAAGAAGATCCGACTACAAAAATTGAGAGGTGATTATGAAGCATTACATATGAAGGAGAGTATGAATCAATTTCATATTACACTTCAAGGTTGCTAGTCGTGGTAAATGAAATGAAGAGATGTGGTGCGACGATAAATGATGGGCAAATAGTTGAAATGATACTTCGCTCATCGAAAAAATTAATTTCATCGTTGTAGCAATTGAAAAATCAAAGGATTTGAGTACAATGTCAATTAATCAACTTATGGGTACTTTACTTGCCCATTAAGAGAAGCTTCTAAAGAAGAACAAATAGATAACCGAGCAACTCTTTCACTCAAAGTTGCAGTTGAAAGATAAAGAAGATAGCTAAGAAAAAGGTTACCGAGGACAAGGTCGTGATAGAAATCGTGGGCGTGGTGATTTTAGAGGTCGTGGTAGAAATCGTGGGCGTGGTGATTTTAGAGGTCGTGGTCGAGGACACTTTGATTAAAGAAAGTTTGATGAGAGTAATTTCAACTCTAATTCATCAAGAGCTCGTGATAGACAAAATTATTCGAGCTCATAGGGAGGAAGGTCTAATGATGACAAGAGGTATGACAAAAGCATAATTGAATGTTATATAATTGTCATAAATTCAGTCATTATTCATGGGAGTGCAGAAATAAAGTTCAAGAAAATGCTAATTACGTTGAAGAAAAGATGTTAAAAGTAGTGAGCCATCTTTGCTTTTAGCATTTAGAGACGAGGAGACTATGATTTTGTGGTATCTTGATAGTGGAACAAGCACTCACATGTGTGGGAGTAAATCCATGTTCATGGAATTTGATGAATCTGTTGGTGGCAATGTCATATTTGATGATGCTACCAAAATTCCTGTAAAAAGAAAAGGTAAGATCTTGATAAATTTGAATAATGGGAAGCATTAGATTATCTCTTATATTTATTATGTTTCAAATATGAAGAACAATATTTTGAGTTTGGGACAACTCTTAGAGAAAGACTATAATATTTTGATGAAAGATTATAGTCTTTCAATAAGCGATCATCATGACAATATGATTGCTAGCTAAAGTCCAAATGGTGAAGAATAAAATGTTTCCATTAAACATTCAAACTGATGTTGCAAAATATTTGAAGCTATTTTTAAAAGAGATTCATCTTAGATTTGACACTTAAGACTTAGGCATTTAAATTCTATGACTTGAGATTATTAGCCAGGAAGAGCATGATGAAATGATTGCCATATGTCAAACAAGCAGATTAACTATGTGAAGGACGTATGCTTCGCAAGTAATAAACAAAGAGTTTTCCACAAGAATCTTCTTCGAGAGCAATGAGACCATTAGTGTCTGTTCACACTGATCTTTGTAGACTTATCAAGCCAAGTTCTTTCGGTAAGAATAATTATTTTTTATTATTGATTGATGATTTCAGCTGAAAAACTTAGGTTTATTTGGTCAAGAAAAATCAAAATTATTTGACATGTTCAAGAGATTTAAAACTCTTGTTGAAAGAGAAAGTGATCTTTATGTAAAAGAGATTCGACAGACGAGGAGAATTCACTTCAAATGATTCCAAATACAATCATTTTGGAAGGAAAATTATGATGAAATTTGATCCATGACTAAAGACCTATTCCATAAAATATTCAACAAAAGTAATCAGCAGTCTTTTTACTACAACAATATGTGGAGTGGGGGTTTGAACACACAACATTTAGTTGGAGATACATATCTTGACCTATTGAAATAGGATTGAATTGACACAAGTAATCAGTGTTAAGATGCATAAAAAGAGCAAATCAAATGAAACGAAGTAATGGTGGGTGTGGTTTGCTGTTTAAGAGGACCTAATCAAGGTTTTAAATATCGATGTCGATGGAAATGTTGAAGCCTTAATTTCATGGAAATATCGATAAAATGTCGATGTCGATGGATATTTCTCTAAAAGTTAGAAAAATTAAAAAATCGTAAAAGAATATTTAAATTAACAAATAACCATTTTCCCATTTCTAAATTAGTTAGAAATAATTAATATTAATATTAAATATATTAACGACATTTTGTTGATATTTTTCAGATTTTGTCGATTTTCTTGTACTAGGATGGAAATCTCGATTCACTCCTCATATCGATGTTGAACCCATGGAAACATGGATATGTTGATGGAAATGTCGACTCGACGAATATTTAGAACCATGGACTTAACCAAAGTTGTGATTTTTTTTTATTTTTACTATTTTTCAATTATAAGGTGAATGTTTAAAATTGGTCCGTGATAAACTTATATTACATGACCATTTGGAAGAGGAATTAAATTAAACCATCTCACGGAGGAAAAAGTCAAAATTTCATCAATCAATTTTGTTAAGATTAGGAATCAGAAACTTTCCTCGGAATTCTCCCTTAAATATCGTGAGATGCAAATTAAAAAGAAATGTCTAAAAGTGAAGTATTTATTTTGCAACTACCTTTGAAAGAAAACTAATTAAGCGATTCATCTAAAAGCCATGTAAAGTGTTTCTTTACTTGTTTTGAAGATTTTTTAAACTTTCTTATTAAAAATGTTAACAATTGCTTTTAATGGGTTGAAAGCACTCCTCTGTTTTAGTTCAACATGTGGGATGAGGGACTGAACTTACAACTTGTTCGTTGGACATATATGTGAATTGTCGTTGAATTATACTTGCTTTGACGGGTGAAAGCCCTCGTTAAAATTTAAACCAAATACTTTCTATTTTTTTTAAAACAATATTAATTATATTCCACCATTAGCACGTCAAAAGGCAATGCCAAGCACACACTAATTAAAACATCGTGTAAGTTAACCCGCCTAAGTTCACCTTCGTCAATTTTAACATTGACTAACAAAAGAAATGAGGGATGGTTCTTGACAACACTCCTCATCTCACCTTATAAGATGGGATGTGATAAATCTCCCAACAGAAAAGGCAGCCTTGGCATTGGTAAAATTGTGCACACAAACTCTGCTCTTTTGACGAAATGGCTTCGGAGATATCACAATGAGAAGGACAGGCTTTGGAGATCCCTTCTCAACGCCAAATACACGACCACTTCGCTAGCTTCGACAAAGGATGGGTCTTTTATGGTAAAGTCGATGAAGATCCTGCTTGCCTCCCGAACCAATAACAATTTGACTGTTTCATTAGCAGATTTATGGAGCATATATGATTCCTAAAAAGTGCAAATGTTTTCTATGGTGTGTCCTACACAGAGGTATTAGTATCCAGTGTCCTACATAGAGGTATTAATATCCAGGATAGACTTGGCAAGATTTCCTTCAAGGTGCTTCCAACCCAGCCGCTACATCATATCAAACATAGTAAATCCTTGGATCATCTCTTCCTCCATTGCTCTTATTATACAAGGAGACAGTTCTTCGAAATTTTTAATATTTCTACGCTCTTCCAGCCACAATGGATGCTTTCATTTTGGAATATATCAAGATTCCTCTTTCCACCAGTAGGCCTGTTCTTTGGAGCAATGACATCTACTCGATCATTTGGTTTATTTGTCTTAAAAGAAACAATCGTCTCTTTACAGACGTCTTTATAACTCTAGCTAATCTATGAGAGGACATCAAGACGGCGGCCTCTTCTTGGTCCACGAAATCATCTTTCTTCAATAATTACGATATTTTCACCACGTCTTTGAACTAGAACGCATTTATTTAACATCCTTCTCTTGTATATTTCTCACATACTTAATGAATAATGGTGTGACGTTTTTTCAAAAAAAAAAAAAAAAGACATTGACTAACAAAAAAAATGACATAGTTAAAAAAAATGTTAATTAAAACATAAAGGACGGTAAACAATACGAACAAAATTTACGAGTGTTGAAGATGTTAACGACAATGGTACTCAAGTACCGCGAGTATCTCTTTGCATCTCTTTGCTTTTGTTGAGATAATGAAGCCAAAACATTATCTATATTTTTTTCCCAACAGCTTTTGGTTTCACAGAAGACCTCATAGCATC